CGGGAGCCGCCGTCGTGTGCCCGCCGAGCCCCTGCCCCGTCCCCGCCGCTCGGTCCCCGGCCTCCTTCGCCCGGCCGCGCTCCTCGTTGGTCCCCCAGGTCCCTTCCGAAAGCGGCCGGAGTCTGCGCTTGGCCGCCTGCGGGGAGAGCGGGGGGCGCGGCTGGAAGCGGCGGGAGCGTCAGCCCGGGGGGCGGGGGGTGCAGGGCGCGGGGACCGTTCTTATGCCTCTTAGTGTCACCAGGTCACCCGTGCTCAGCGCAGCGGGCTGGCTCCATGTTTGCGTAACGAGTGAGTGATGACTCTCCTTGTCCCCTTCTGAAGGAGGACTTTCTGAGGTCCACGTGCTGCAGAGCACGTTGGGGGCCCTGAGATAGAGGGTCTCCGCTCCCGCATAGTAGAAACCGGCTCTCATTAGAGAAATGAGAGGCCTCTTCTTTACGGACCGTTCTGGAGGTTCCCTTTGGGTTGGGCTTGCGGCTGGGTGGGGGGTCGAGGGGGCTTTAAGGCCCAGCCAGGTACTTATGGAAGGGGTGTTGCGGCAGGGGACTTGAGCAAGGCCTGTGAGACGGTCACAGTGCAGGGGGACGCTGCGCAGGAGAGCGCCCGCTGTCAGGCAGAGCCCGCCCTGCACCTCCAAGGCCAGCCTGGAAGAACCAGTTGGAGTAGGATTCCGACTCAGCCCCTCCAAGCCTCGGTTTCTTCGTCAGTAAAATGGGCACGTTAGTGTCCATTCCTCAGGACTTTGTGCAGATTAAGAAAAATGACATATGAAATCACCCAGCACAGTGCTTGGCATATTGAGGACACAGCTCATCTTAGTTTTATTTCCTTCCTCTCTGCAAAAATGTGATCAGAGAGTTATTTGTTCCCATCTTGTCTGTCCACGAACTGATCATAGGCAGACATAGTAGATGTATAATAACTGTTTGTTGAATGAATATGCTTGATGGAGCTCCAGCACCTACTCCCACCCCCCTTTCTTCCAGAATCCGCAGGGAGAGCTGGGGGCCTGGCCGGCACGGGCATGCCAGTGCTATCGGAGGACTCGGGTGAGTGCCTCCCACTGCCCTGAGGACAAGGGCCCACCCGGCAGCCCAGGGCTGGAAAGAAACCAGGCTCTGCCAGAGCTGTCTCTCAGAGGCTGCCCTGCCTCCAAGCCCTGGCAATGACAGACTGGGGAGACAATGTCCTTACGGCAGGGCTGAAGTGGTGTTTGAGGGTCGACTCAGGGTCCGGAGGGGCAGGAAGTACCCAGTGCGTTTGCTATACCTTATTTTTTCTTACACCATCTTCAGGTTTGCATGAAACCCTGGCGCTACTGACCTCTCAGCTCAGACCGGACTCCAACCACAAGGAGGAGATGGGCTTCCTGAGGGATGTTTTCAGTGAAAAAAGCCTCAGTTACTTAATGAAGGTGAAACCCCATGTCATTCTGCCACGTGAGGATTTGTAGAGGTCTTCCTTGCTATCCACCTGCCCCGGGAAGGTCTTCACTAGCCCATTAGGCAGGGCTTTCTCTTACCCTGCCCCACCGGTGACCCAGTCTGCAGCCCTAGGTATCCCCACAGCTGTGGCCGGGGGGTGTGGTGTCCAGTGTAAACCTGAAATCCTTTGTCTTTGCAGATTCACGAGAAGCTTCGCTACTACGAAAGACAAAGTCCAACCCCAGTTCTGCACAGTGCTGTGGCCCTCGCTGAGGATGTAAGCCCCAGGTTTTCCCTTATCTTGTCAGCCCCGCTCCCCACCCTGTAGGGCTCCTTCATCTTCCCTTGTTGCCATTGCTTAGCCTGGGGACATCAAGAATTGGGACCCCAAAGATGAAGAGGCGTCTCCTTCCCTCCTCCTCCTCCTATTCCTTCCTGGGTCTCCCGACAGGCAGGGAGGAACTTGTGAGCATTGGAATGGGCCTGGAGACATGGTGACATAGTGACACCCACCTACTGTGTGTTCTTGAGAAAGTCTTTTTCCTCAGCTGTGAAATGAGAGCATTGGATCAGATTAGCAGTTCCCAAACTGTCCTGAGGCCTGGCCATATGAATAGGTCAAAAGCATATTGTATCTGTGCTTTGGGAGGCTAGTGTGAAGTCCTGAAGTCAAGGGACATGCAGTGTGTCTCTGCTTATTGGCTCAGGCTTCTCATTTTTTTTAAAGGAACGCTTCATAATTCTTGTAGACCTAGTCCTCTGTGTTGCATGTTTGGGGAAAAGCTATCCTGCTTGATTATTAAGATCAGCTCCTGATTAGATAAACTCGCCTAACCCCAGAAGATGGCCTGGTGAGGGACAGGTGCAGCCTGTGGGTGCAGATCCCTGTACCTTTCTTCACTGTGGAACATGGTTAGGAGCATGGGCTGGCCCGGCTCCCAGGCTCAGCACTGCTTTTACCACCTGTGAACAGTCTGTCTCTCTGAGCTCCAGGGTCCTCATTCATAAAACCGCGTACTAATAAGGACACAAACAGTAGAACCAGATTAGCCCAGGTTCCAATCCTGGCTGTGCCACTTATGAGCTTTGTGACCTTGGGCAAAATATTTAATCTCTTTGAGCCTCAGGATTCTCATCTGTAAAATGGCAAGATAATAGGGCCCACTACGTCTAGTGTGTTGGAGGGTTAAGTGAGAAGGTCCGCAGAAGGCACATGGCTCACGTGCAGTGAGGGCTTCACGAATTAGCTCCTAGCAGGCTTGCCCTGGGGAGCTGTTGGTCCTCTCCTGGCCGCTGGTGTGATTTTCCCAGAGCATCAGTCCAGTGGTGGCTGAAGTTCTGACGTGCCCTGGGTGCTGGGAGGGCCCTTGGGTCTGCAGTCCAGGGAGGAGGGGTTGTCTCTGAGGGATCCCTAGCAGACTCGTGGCAGGGGGTGCCCCAGTAGCGTTGTCTCATTCCCCTACAGGTGATGGAGGAACTGCAGGCCACCTCCGTGCACAGCGACCAGAGGGAGCTGCTCCAGCTGCTGTCCACCCCCCACCTCAGGGTAGTCACACCACAGTCCCTGCCAGCCACGCATCTTGTGTCCCCTGGGATGGGGGCGGAGGGAGCTCTTGGTCTCGAGGAGACTTCGGTGCGAGGGCTTCTCTGTGCCAGCGTCTGCGTGGTTTTCTCTCTGACATGAGACCCGAGACCCTCCAGGCTGCTGCCCAGCCGAGGCCTGCCCAGCCCTGCCCACCATGGGGCCAGCCCTTCTTTTCTCCTGCTTTCCTGACAGGCTGTGCTCATGGTACATGACACTGTTGCCCAGAAGAATTTTGACCCCGTTCTTCCACCTCTGCCTGACAATATTGATGAGGATTTCGATGAGGAATCAGTGAAGATCATCCGCTTAGTGAAGAACAAGGAACCCCTGGTATGTGGTGCCCACCTCTCTTCCCCACCTTCCCCTGCATCTCACCCCCACCCAGAACACTGGGAAGGCACCCTCCTGAAGTCTTCAGAGAGAGTGAGGGCAGCTTGGTCAGGGCTACTGCTAGTCCCTGAGGCAGCTTGGTGTGCAGCGCACCCTTTTCTCTGGGTGGAGACAGCTCTCTCCCCAGCTGTGTCCAGGCCTCTTTGTGCAGTGAACAACCTGGACAGCTGTACGGGGTGGCCCTAATCGTTATGCTCTGAACCAGAGGTTGACAAACTACAGCCCAAGGGCCAAACCCAGACCATGGCTTATTTTTATAAATAAAGTTTTTATTTTTGAGCACGGCTGTACCTGTGCATTTACATATTGTCTGTGGCTGCCTTTACACTATAGTAGCAGAGTTGACCAGTTATGACAGAGACCTATAGCCTGCAAAGCCTAAAATATTTACATTTGTCCCTTAACAGAACAAGTTTGCTGATCCCTGCTCTGAACACAGAGCAAGCACAGGGCTCCAGCCCTTCTTGACCCCGCTGACAAATTGTTATCATTTTGGTCCTGGTTCAGCAGTGGTTTCCTGAGCAAAGGGACAGGGTTGTTCATTAGGTGGAGGGATGTGGTGAATGTCCAGAGGATTGAATACTTGCTCTAGAGCATACCGCAGCTGGCATTCTCTGTTTTCAACTTTCCCCAAATAACCTCCAACGAGCCACTTCTGCAAACAGAGGATCTCTCCTCTGTCCCTATTTCCTCACCTGCAAAATGGGGTAGTCATCCACGGATTTGCCAAGCATAGGCAAATGAGCCCTCCTGTGCAGGCACTGTGCTGGGTGCCAGCGGTTCAGAGATGAATGAGCGAGCGATGGACAGAGATACTGGAAAGTTTGCAAGTCAGGGATCTGGGGGAGCAAGAAGTCTGGGATGCTGAGCCGATGGCCTTTCTTTCCAAGCAACATTCTTATGCTTGAATATCTTATGTTCTTCAAATAGATGGCATGCATGAAGTTAATAGTAAGTGTGCAAATGTGTTTGCAGTTACAGCCAGCTGATAAATGGTTAGCATTTGTTGAGCATTTACTGTGTACCAAGTGCCTTGCATGCATTACCTGATGTAATCCTTGCAGCAACCCTGTGAGTTAAATGCTGCCCCAGAGGAAACAGGCTCAGAGAAGATAAGGGACTTCCTGGCTAAGGCCACATGCTTTTAGTAAATGGCAGAGCTAGTTTCATACCTGGGGCTATCTACCTCCAGAGCTTAGCTCCCAACTTTCCTGCTGTCCTGCCGCAGTCCAGCCTGCGTGGTACAGGAACTCGAGGGCTCATGAGTGCCTTTCTCTTCTTAGAAGGCATCTCTGCTGTGCTTCACAGCCAAGTCCTGGTCCTGAAGCTCTGCTGGGGCATAATTAGTTACCCTCGGCAACAACAGAAGGTCCAGCAACCCTGTGATTGATTAGAGGCAGGTCAAGATTTGCTGGCCCAGATTATCCTCATTTTTAAATGTTTTTGCAAGTGGGAAGAGCTGTGATATGATAGAGAAGGCACTAGATTTGGCATCACAAGGTTGGCCACCTTTCCAACTGGATGACCTTGAGGATGCTTAACTTCTCTGAGTTCCAGTCCCTTATCTAAAATGTTGCAGGGTTATTGTGCTTTGTAAACTGTACAGTACAGTGCTATACTAATGGGAGATATTGGTTTTATTGCGTTCTCAGCTTTGGGAAGTTCCCCACTGATCTGCTCTCTCGGGTGGCAGAGTGGGGGAATGGGGCAGGGGGCTGTGTTGGGCCCAGAGAGTCGGGGTCTGATGTTGGGGGTTGGTTCTTAGGAGCCTGCCTGTTCTGTCTCCGACGCAGGGGGCCACCATTCGGCGGGATGAGCACTCAGGGGCTGTCGTGGTGGCCCGGATTATGCGAGGGGGTGCGGCAGACCGGAGCGG